CAGTTATCTTTTTCAGAAAAACAACAGCCCCAATTTGCATTAGACATCATAAATCCACTCAAATTTAATTATGTTATATTCAAAAAACGAACCGTGTAATCTTGTCCTCTCAGATGCAAAGGTAATGCACGATATTATCGTTGTTCTATCTGCATTACCTTATCAGTACTGGGTCGGGCGTCGCATCACAAACAGGCCGGGCGTATGCGATTATTACCAGTCAACAGGTCGGATAAGCTCGCAGTTTGCTTAGCAGCGAGCTCAGCACATCGGCACTCACAATTGTTCCTCTACCGCTCAATATAAATAAAAACAAACAATTTCAACTTTTATTTGTTTAAATAATGATTTTAGACCAGGTTTTCTTGAGGTTTTTATATCACAACACAATCTTTACGCACTATAATCATTAGATCTTAATCATTTAGACTTTAAACGTGATTAAAAACTCTCGAATCAAAATATTACTTAGGGAACACAAGTACAGAGCTGCTTTTATAATTGTGTCCAAAGACTCACTGACACTAGTTGTAGTACGAATGGGTCGGCTCGCCCGGGGAAGGACCACACTCTCACAGAAAACCAGCGTAAAATAGCAGCTTAACGCTGCTGTGTTTCGTATGGTAAGTGTAGAGAACCGGAGACCCTTTTTACTGGCAAAGAGGCATTCCATCTTAGTCCTCACGGGTGACAACGTATCTGCATCTTGAGTCTTTATTGAGGATAGATGTAGATGTCTATGGGCTACAGCAACCACTTACCATCAGGTGGACTGTGTGCTCGTTTGTCACCCTATACTATAAAAAAAAAATATACATACGGAATTCCGTTTCGAGATTCCGTTTCGAAATACCGAACGGTCGGCCACACACAAACGGAATTCCGTTTTGCCCGCAAAATATCGCACGGAAAACTACCGTACGTGTGTGGCGGGTCATAGATTTTATATGGACTTGCTGCGTTCGGGATTCCGAATCGGAATATCGAAACGGAATCTCGAAACGGAATTCCGTATGTATGTGGCCGGCCTAAGGCCCGCCATATACATACGGAATTCCGTTTCGAGATTCCGTTTCGGAATTCCGAACGGTCGGCCACATACAAACGGAATCCCGTTTTGCCCGCAAAATATCGAACGGAAAACTACCGTACGTGTATGGCGGGTCATAGATTTTATATGGACTTGCTGCGTTCTGGATTCCGAATCGGAATATCGAAACGGAATCTTGAAACGGAATTCCGTATGTATGTGGCCGGCCTTAATCGTTATTTTCTTCACTTCCCTATAATATATTTTTACCAATGGTTACAACTCTTTTCCTCTTTGCGCAAGTTAGCATATAACCATGAACGATTTGTCAACCTGCGCTACGCTGAATGCGTATTGTTTTCGCTGTTTGATTGCCTAACAATGTTGCTAGATTCAAATTTTCGATTGCCATGTTCGGTGAGCAAAACAGCCGTATTTCTATAGAACATAGGTCTTCGTATTGCCAGTATTGCATTAGCAGATTGTACCGGTCATAGTTTCTACTCGTACAGCTTCTTTGATGGTTAAACTAGTTTATAGCTGCTGCTGTGTTAAGCTGTTATTTAAAAAAAAAGTCCCGTTGGGTTTCTTGCTGGTTCTTCCCAGGACAGAGGTTTTTTTTCGAACCAGTGGTAATTAAACAAAAGAGTAACTTTCAATAAGTATTATTTATAATCTATATTGATTAAAAACGTTTCTGTTTCTGTTTCTGTAGTTTAAAGACAGTTTAAGACGATAGTAGGTAAGTATGAATGGCGTTTAAAGTAAGCACACGATACGTTAGCAGTTTATACGTGGTAGAGCCATGCTGCAGCTATATTAGTAGTATAGTTGTAGCACGAATGGGTCAGCTCGCCCGGGGAAGGACCACGCTCTCACAGAATACCAGCGTAAAATAGCTGCTTAACGCTGCTGTGTTTCGTATGGTGAGTGTAGAGAACCGCAGAACCCTTTTACTGGAAACGAGGCTTTTTATCTTAGTCCTCACGGGTGACAACGCACCTGCATTTTGATTCTTAATCGAGGATAGATGAAGATGTCTATAATTAAATGTCTATAGCCACAGCTCCACTTCGTTGTTCTATGATGAATCGTAATAATTCACGCGAAGGCCAATACACTAAAGCGATTGCGTCACACAAGGTTTTTTGTGACTCCAGCATGCTCATTGTAAGTTAAAGAACTTGTAAAGGTGTCATTGACCGTAAATAATAGGCAAGGGAAAAAGGTTCTTCGTATTTTGTTTCTATAAAATTGAAGAAAAATCTCTTTGGTTGTACTGTTTGTAACTGGCTGGTTTTAATATCAATACATAAAGGACATTAAGAAAAAGAAAAATAAAAAGTAATAAAAACTTTCCCGCCAAATAGTAATCTAATGAAGAACTTCGATACATTCTGAAGTTCTATATACGATAAATGCGACGCAAGCCGCGAAAACGAGCTACAGTGTCAGTAAGAGTAGCACAAAGTTGGTTTCAGCGTTATCAGTCCGGGAATTTTGATGTCAAAAATGCAGCTCGCTCTGATGGGCGATCATGTGGATAAAGCCGATGCTATTTTTAAAAAGTGGAGCAAGATGAGTAGTTAAGTCAAGGCATATTAGTAGTTACGACATAGCCTGGCTATAGCTATAAGAAAAGCTCGATATTTGACGGCTCCGTGGCGCAGTGGCTTAGCAATGAGTTCCAGCGCTTGGGGCTGCGGGTTCGAATCCCGCACGGAACAAGTATTTGTATGGCCTACAAATAATTGTTTCGGGTCTGGATGTTTGTCCTTGTGCAATTTATGTTTGTAAACTATATTGGCGAACTTTATATGATGTCCTAGAAATATTTATTTCTAAATTTCTTTGTCATAAAGGTATTTTTTAAAAAAAAAAGAAAAAAGGAAAAGATATTTGTGTATCACACGAGCTCACTGAAATAAACCTAATGAATCGTGTAACTCATTTGCGATTCTCTATTGAAACGTAATGAAACCGAACCATTTTTGAAACCAGAAGTGGATCACTTTCGACAAGAACGTGCGAAAAAATCATGGTCAAAGGGTAGTCCAGCTCCACAGACTGTAGCGAAACCCGGATTAACACGCTATGATGCTGTGTGTAATAATAATAATAATCTCCTCGACCGATTTCGGCCACGGCGACCTCTTCAGCTCCGATCTTGTCGTTGGTGTGCTCGTGCATGGCTAACGTAGCCGATCTTATTTACAAATGTTCGCGTGCAATGCGGGCAGGTGAGCACACCATTACAGAAATTATAGTTAATCGCACAAGGTGGGCGTGCTTTGAGTTCATCACGTCGGGCGTCCAATTCAGAGCATCGATTCTCCTCAAACATTTTGACCTTGGCTTTCACCAAAGATCTCCACTCCGGTCGTCGAGCGGCTGCTTGCTCCCACTCTGAAGGCTCAATGTCGCACTTCGTCATGTGGCGCTTAAGTACATCTTTGTACCTGAGAAGTTGTCCGCCATGCTTACGTTTGCCCTTCTCAAGTTCAGAGAAAAAGATGCACTTAGCCGTACGCTGATCTGACATTCGCGATAAGTGTCCACACCAACGGAGTTGTCGCCCCATAAGGTAGGCTTCAATCCCCATGGTATAGGCTCTACGCAGCACTTCTGTATTCCGAATGCGATCAGACCAACGGATGTTGAGAATTTTGCGCAGACATTGCAAGTGGAAGCGATCCAGCGTCCGTATATGACGGCGGTAAACTGTCCATGACTCTGAAGAGTACAGTATGTTAGGCAGCACTACCGCCTTATAAATACCAATTTTGGTAGCCAGCTTTAGGTCATGTGAGCCAAAGACCTTGCGATCCAGTTTACCGAATACCGCAGCCGCGGCACCGATCCGACTGTTGATTTCAGCATCAAGGTCACACTTTGATGTTATCGTGCTCCCCAGATAACGAAATGTATTGATCTGCTTAAGTATATCATCACCGATGCTGTGTGTATGATGGGATTGAAAGGGCATCGTTTATTATAAGCTTTTACCGTAGGGCAAAACCATCGATTCGGATCTGTACTGCCAACAGCTAATGAGACTCGAGCAAGAAATTGAGAAAAAACGGCCTGAATTGAGCAACAGTAACAGTAAGTTTCATCATGATAACGCCAGACCACACACATCTTTGGCCACTCAGCAAAAATTGAAAGGGCTTGGTTGGGAAGTGTTAATGCATCCACCATATAGTCCTGACCTTGCATCCTCAGATTTTCACCTATTTCGGTCTCTTCAGAATTCTTTGATAGAGTTAGGTTAATCAAGAGAGGACTGTCAAAACTACTTGTCGCATTTTTTTTTTTGATAAAAAATCCCAAGATTTCTACAGCAACGGGATCATGTCACTATCTACAAGATGGCAACAAGTTATCGAACAAAATGGCACATATATATTATAATTAAATTAATTAAACTTTGAAAAAAAGTCTTTAATTTGTATTTAAAATACGAAGAGGCTTTTTCCCCGACCCAATAGTAAGATTTCAAAGCTAGTATTAAATCACTAAACATTACACATTATTTGTTATGTACCTAATTTAAAAAGATAATGTATATAGTTTAATAGAAATCGTATTAGGAACCTGTAAAAATAGTTGTACCTAAGTGTTGAAATAAATATATTTTGTCCAATTATTTTTGAATGATACTGACAAAAATTAACACGTAGACGGCGATTATTTATTATCTTCGATGGGTCCAAAATGTTATAAGTGCAAGCTATGTTCGTAAAGAAGCTTATAGAAAGGTTTTGCAACGCGCCGAATCGTTTCACAGCATTCTAAATAATTTCTAGCGGGTTTTCCATAGGCAGTGCGCAAGAATTCGTAGTGCACGTAGTCCATTCTTTAATTATAGTTTATAGTATGTTCTAGAACATACCGTATCTTCCCCTGAATACCGTATAATTTGAGTTTTATATCAATGTCTTTAGTGCGGCTTTTGTCCTGTTCTCAGAGACACAATGCTCTCGTTCCAAGAGATCGCGTTCAAAGCGGAGCTGGACCGACACGAACATCCAACTCAGGAGTTCGCCGAGCAAGCTCTCTTGCTATGCGACGAGGACCCGGCTACAAGGTCTAGTGTTATAGAGGAGTTTAGAAACATGATATTTGGTGCGTACATTGTATACACATTGAAAACACATAAATCTGTAGGCCTGTATATTAATAGATAGCGTCGTGGTCGGACACGAGAGTTACGTAAGCTCATCATCATCATTCATCATCATCAGAGGATTATAAAACACGATTTTTTTTTATTTCTATATTTTTATTTATCAACTCCATTTCAATCGGTCTGGGTTTTTACGTCGTAAAGGAAATGATTATACCGCCATCTACCGGAAGCCTGAGATATTTTTTTCTTTAAGCGCGTAGAGGTAACGAGATATTCCATCTTAGTCCTCGGGGGTGACTACTGAGAACGCACATATATTTTGTAGACATAGGTAACTTTTTGTACGTGGTAGAGCCATGCTATAGCTATATTACTGGTATAGCTGTAGCGCGAATGGGTCGGCTTGACCGGAGAAGGACCACGCTCTCACAGAATACCAGCGTAAAATAGTAGCTTAACGCTGCTGTGTTTCGTATGGTGAATGTAGAGAACCGGAGACCCCTTTTTACTGAAAACGAGGCATTCCATCTTAGTCCTCACAGGTGCCAACGCATCTGCATTTTGATTCGTAATCGAAGATAGATGTAGATGTCTATGGGCTACAGCAACCACTTACCATCAGGTGGACTGTATGCTCGTTTGTCACCTTTATCCTATAAAAAAAAAACTCGATGAAATTCGTTGTGTTAACTCAGTAACCTCAGAAAAATACATTTCGTTAATTCAAAATTGCCATCATCAGTCAAATCAGCCATCTGTCAAAATAAATCCTTGTGGCCAGTAAGTAAAATAAAATCTGGAAAAGAATGATTACCAATATATTATGTACTATGTATATCAACTACTTTTACATTGCACGGAGTTGCAGTTTATAAAAATAATATAAAATCACAACATCTTCACACCATTCGAATTTCTCGGTTCTGCGCTGTGCGCCAACAAATTTTTAAGAAGTGAGTTAACTACTGATGTGTCCCCACAGAGCATGTGTCCCTCACTCATGAGTTACGTCGTTTGTGGTCCCCGTGACGGGAAATCGAAAAAGTTACTCGAATTTTTACATTGAACCACCTCACTCGTTCACGACCTCGCTTTTGACTGACAATACGAATCATGTCACGAATGAGTGAGCGAACGATTCGTTTAATTCGTTCAAATAAATATTGAGATTATGTATTTTGCAGCAAAATCTAAATGAGTGAGATGTCGATATTGAGGAAATAAAACTATTGGTAAATCCAATGAGGGCTAATAATCTTCCACTCACCAGATGTCGCTAGTTGTGACTGAGGTAAAATTTTTTGTTACACAATGTCAGTTAATTGAGAAATTAGTTTTAAACAATAGTTTATCATTATCTAGAGTATTATATTAATACACAACACAATGCGTCAGTGGTTTGATTTTTAATTTTTTGCACATTATAACTCTTTTTTTTTTAAAAGTAATCTTTTAGTTATATTTATAGTTTGGTTTATTCATTTCTAATCTCATTAATATAAAATATAACAAATTAAACAGAAAGAAACCTTAAATTTTACATTTTCCTAAGAAATTATCATCCCCGCTATGAAATCTGTCAAATATTTTACCTTACTCTAAAGTGGCGCCTCCCTGGTGGCAGAAAAAGTCGTGGATGCGTCATTGGGCATGCCCTAAGTACATAAAAAATACGTATAACATTTTTAAGATTTTTTTTTAAAGTAGTTTAAATGCAGAAAGTTTTCACTAATAACCTTATTATAATTCCAATTTTCTGATAATTTTATGTCAAACTACAATTTAAACAAAAGTTTGGAAAATCCAAAAGTGCACGACTCGTAATGCTCATGTGATCATCACATCATACCATCATTCAGGTCACTCCATAAAGTCCAAGACGTATTTAAGTATAAATATTAAATCCTACTTACTTTTAGTACGCACTACTATTATTTATTCTCTGCTTTTAAAATATTGTAATAAAAATCTCTGATTATTATTATAATCAAATATGTATGAAATTTGGTTGTTCGAATATTGTGTATTTGAACAGCGATGTTTACGAGCCGCTACAAACAACCAATACAGTACCCACTCACGACGGTGGTTGACGCCGTACCAGGGGGAGGAAAGTTGGTAGTAACTAACTGAGTGAGTGAGGCAGTCTCTATTTAGTAAAAAATAAATTCATACAATGCTGCTAAAACACTGCATATTTCGACATTTTGCATCCGAAGAAAATTAATTATAACTAAACAAAACAAAACTAAACTGCCATTTACATTCCATAGCTTCCCACATGATAGGTGAAGAGTTTTAAAAATAGATTGAGTTGAACAATTGATATTTTCAAAAGTTATCGTGTTTACGAAGCCATGCGAACTTGATAAATCCACACCATAAGCCACTAAAACCCCTTTTTTATGTAAAAATAGCAATTAATCGAATTAAAAAAAATATTAATAAGTTTAATAATCATTTATCTTTCTGACAATGTGCTTTTTATATCATTTATATGTATAATATGGTTGCTAGATACGATTTCATGCGACAAAACGTTGGAATCTTAATTATTAGGTCCTAGCAGACCATACCTGCGCGCTTTGCACTTACGGCATGCAAAAGGTTAATAGACAACATGTGAAACAACATCAATGCGCATTTTTTATTGCCCAATTTCGTGTTAACTGGGCATAACCAGTGATCACACATTTTATTTGCGTTATATTATAAATATAATTACTATGGTAACAACATATCCTGTTTTCAAAATCTTTCGGAAGGAGGCCACTCGCCTTGTGAGATGAATACGCCGACGAGCGATCCTCACCCGAAGTAAAATGAAGCCTACTTACCTACTGCCTCATTCTCAAACAAAATACGTGAGTAACCCATGACTAGAGTTAACACGCAGTGCAGTGTTGGTCAAGTGATTGTTAACGCAATTGCTGATTATGTGTTGTTTTCGAATCCTGGGTCATGATAAGATAAGGTTAAACTATAATATATTAATATTATAATTATACTTATAGCGTAGTACTGGCGAACAATCCGAAATTATGCAGTCAGCCATGTGCACACTGAATAGACTGAAGGTTCGGTTTTGATATAAAATCTTCAACATTATTTTATAATATATATATATATATATATTTATTTATTAATAATTATATATAACATACTGTAGCTATTAGCTACACTATACCAATTAAGAGACATTGTTATGAATATAAGCCCTACGATCGTAAGGCAACAAAAATTGAGTAAGACTCATTTGAGTGCTCCCCTCCACGGAAATCTTTAGTAAAAGGCGAAAGATTTATACGTTTTGAAGGGAAACCAGAGTGGCGATAGAAACTTTACATTAATTTTATAACCACAGTAGACGAACACATGTAAAGCATGAATTTGTTTGATGCAGCGCCATCTAGTACCGTCGTAGAAAACATAATATACAATTTTAATATTCACGCAGAGACAGTTCTAAGCATAAGTCAAACGAATGCGTAATCATAAATAACACACATCAATCAGTTAATACACTTAATCATTCAATCAATGAATACACGTAAAACTTAAATGATTAGAGCAGCAACTAACTAGCGAACGGATAATATCTAACGAAAAGCATCGCACTACCTCCGGTAGATGGCAGTAAAACTATCTCGATCTCGTTTAATATTATTCCCACGGAGCAACTTTGCATTTGCTCCGTGATTATGCCAGACAGAAATCATTAAGCTATACAGTATAGTCTATAGGTACCTATCAATACACAAAGACCGTGAAATATTAAAAGCGACGTGGAACAGCTTAAATTTACGAGATAAATATATAGGTAAATGTCTTTGACTATAGGTAATAGAAAAATACATTAATAGGTAATGATATAGGTTGTACTAGACCTTGGACGTCTTAATAACCTGGACGTCTGGTACTAACCTTTTTTAATTATCGCCATGTATCGTCAAATTGCAAAATAAAACTCCTTGTGTGTTTAGAATTAGAAAGTCACAGAATAAAGGTATATATTATATAAGTGTGCATTACGTAAACGGAAAGAATATAAATGACAATGAAAGAATGAACAGTCTATTGATACAGAAATAATTAAATATTTGATAACTTACTACTTAAACCTTACTTCCAAAGACTTAAGATTACAGAACTGCCAATAGATGGCGCTTACACTGCCCAATCTCTAATCTTTGTGTTTTTGCGTTCAGCTTGCCAGGCGCCTTGCGAAAATTCTAACAATAGTACATATAAATATATATCTTTGATCTTTGCTAAAAATTTATAATTATCGTCATAAGTAACATTACGTTTTGTATCTTACGCAATTCATCATTATATTTCCTCAAACTCAAACCATCCCACTGACCACATAGTAGCCCACACATTTGTATTTATTAGTAAGATTAGTCGTATATTAACTCTACTCTTTGGATTAGTATAATCAAAGCCATGCCAGGCGATGGGCTGCGACAATGCAAGCGCACCGACAAATAAAATAGTTTATAAAGTGAAATTACAAAGAGAAAATTAATAATTGAAACAATTTTTGCCGACCGGATGTGACAAAAAAACTACTCGTAAATCATAAAGGAAAATGTAAGAGGCCACAAATTTATTACAAAAGTGAAAATTGGAAAATGTACTGAAAAGTGCATACGAGTAGTAGATGCAAAGAAGATTAAAGTAGCGAATATAACATTTTGAAGAAAAATACAATGAAGATAACGTAAGCATAAAAATAAATAATCCATCAAACGAATTTACGAAAAAATGAAGAAATTGTAGTCCAGCAAACTTCTCCCAGAAGAACTGAGCCGAAAAGAAAAAAGAAGATAAAAGGTAACAACTATCCAGTGATATATTTTTAAAATTATTATTTAAGATTAAGATATTTACATCTTTTTGATACGGATTATTTTTATTACTGTTGTACTGTGTACGAAAAAAAATGAAATATTATGATACATTATATTTTACGTGCTTAATTTTACCATTT